AACCCAGGTGTCCGGGCTCCCAGCGCCCCCCCCATCAACTTTAACCCCCTCAGAGCTGGAAAGAACCCAGGTGTCCGGGCTCCCAGCGCCCCCTGCTGGAGCTGGGGGGGAACCCAGGCGGTCAGGCTCCCAGCACCGCTCCCCCACCTGCCCGTCAACTTTAACCCCCCAGCGCTGGAAAGAACGAACCCAGGCGTCCGGGCCCCCGTCCTCCACTGCTCGCCCCCCCAGGGCTGGGAGAACCCAGGCGTCCTGCCCCGCCTCACCTGACCCCGGTGAAGTGGGCGTGGACGCGGAGCTGGGCCCCATAGATCTGCACCCGGGTGCTCTGGATCTCGATGACAGCGCCGACCGTGGGGGTGTACTGCGGAGGGGTGGGGGGTGGTCAGCCCGGCACCCGGACACCTGGGGTCTCACTAGGCCGCCCCCCCCAGCTCCAGGCCACCCTCCCGCAGCTCACCGAGTCCTCGCGGTACTCGCTGTACAGCTCCACCTCCAGAGTCTGCTTCTGCTCCGCAAAGCCGGTGAGGAAGAAGACGGCGAAGGCCAAGGTGTGCAGCACGCGAAGCAGCGTCGAGCGGTAGTGCAGCATTGCCTGCGGGGTGGGGGGCAGCGGTGAGACCAGGCCCCAGCAGCCTCCCAGCTCCTGCTCCCCGCCCAGAGCTGGGGAGATCCCAGGCTCCCACCCCCCTGCTCTCAGCCCCCAGCCCCTCTCCTCCTAGTGCTGGAGGAAACCCAGGTGTCCGGGTTACTCACAGTGCGGGCAGACATGGCCACCGTGCGCCCACCCTTGGCGTAGCAGGTCACGGCCACCATGAACATGCCCAAGTCGCGGTTGGCCGGCGACTCGGGCAGCTCCAGCTCCAGCGAGATGCGGTAGGGCTGCCCTGGCATCAGCACCTGTGGAGCACGGGGGTCAGCCCAAGCCCCGCCCGGCCCCCTGGCTTCCCTGGGCGGTGCAGGATGAGGCCGGGAGCCCGGACGCCTGGGTTCGCTCCGGCTCTGGGACTCCAGGGCCTCGGGCCGCTCCCAGGACTCACCCGGTCCCGGTTCCTCTTCACCAGGGAGACGTTGGCGACGGGGAAGGAGCAGAGCTCAGGGCCGGGTGCCCCACAGCCCGACCTGGGGGACACAACGGGGGTCAGAGCGGGGCGGGCGGCCGGCCCCTGGGGTCTCTGCAGCCTGGGGACGGGCA